ACCCATCAAAGATTTCATTTCTTTTGAAAACTGTGTTTCATGCGCTCAGGGAAAACATCATCGGAAACCACACCTTCCAAAGCAGATAAACTCCATAAGTCAAGTGCTCGAGGTATTGCATATGGATTTATTTGGTCCGGTTAATGTTCTAAGCATCAATCGCAACTCATACTGCCTTGTTGTGATAGATGACTACTCTTGTTTCACTTGGGTTTTCTTTCTATCTAACAAAGCTGGAATTGCTGACCTCATCAAAAGATTCATTGTGATGTTCGAAAATCAGACTAATAATCGAGTGAAAGCGCTACGTATCGATAATGGAACAGAGTTCAAGAATGTTGTTCTTGATTATTTTTGCGCTGAGAAAGGGATTGTGCATCAGTTCAGTTCTATTCGAACACCTCAACAAAACGGGGTTGCCGAACGTCGGAATCGAACTCTAAAAGATGCCACAAGGACGATGCTATGTGATTCCAAGCTTCCTGTATTCTTTTGGGCAGAGGCGATCAACACCACGTGTTATGTTCAGAATCGTGTGGTGATCAACAAAGCCAGAATGAAGACACCGTATGAGATTCTATTTGGACACAAGCCATCTGTCAGTCATTTCCGAGTATTTGGGTGCCCTTGCACCCTTCTCCACTTGGAATCCAACCCCAAATTCAATGCCAAAGCCGATGACTGTTACTTTGTTGGATATGCTGCTCGAACTGCGTAAAGGGTTTATAATAAGAAGACTAAATAGATTGTAGAATCCTTTGATGTTCGTTGACTCGAGGAAAGTGAGACAGATGCAAGAGTGGGTGCTGATTGGTTATTTAACTACACATCTCTTTTCAAATCATTCAATGTGTCTTCAGATAATCAAGAAGGATCTACATCCAATTCGAAGATTCCTAGTGAAGACGAAGAAGATGAAGTTGTCTACCGACCACCACTGATTTCCTTTGATCCTCCATTGGTACCCTCCACTCATTTTGAATCTTCTAATTCTCCTCAACAACCTTCTCCTGATGCTATTGCTACTCCTTTAACACCGATGGAAAGAAAGTTCATGAACCACGAGACTTCCACTGTAACTTCAAATCTGATGGAACTTCTCTTTCTAGAAAATATTGTTGAAGAGTTTGTAGCAGATTCTTCAAACGAACCTTGTTCATCCTCTATGGATCATACAACAAATGATGGAGCAGTTAATATTCATAATCTTCCTGTTTCTGTCAATGATATCAGCTATCAGATCCCTGCACATATTCAGTGCAATCATCCGATAGAGAACGTCATTGGCCAGCTGGGCGATGGTGTTCAAATGAGAAGTAAAACTGGGGATGTTAACACATGTCTCTACTCTTGCTTCATCTCTCAAATGGAGCCCAAATTTATCGAAATGGCTCTGAATGAGCCCAGCTGGGTTGAAGCCATGCATGATGAATTAAATCAATTTGAGAAACTCGGAGTTTGGAAATTGGTGGAGCTACCAAAAGGAAAGAAATCTCATAATACTCGTTGGGTATTTCGAAATAAACAAGACAAATCAGGTGTCATTGTGCTCAACAAGGCAAGATTGGTGGTTCGAGGGTTTTGACAAGTTGAGGGTCCTGATTATATGGAAGTTTATGCTCCGCTCGCTCGCTTGAAAGCCATTCGTATCTTCCTTGCTTATGCTTCATACATGAACTTCACTGTATACCAAATGGATGTCAAGATGGCTTTCTTGTACGGCAAGGTCAAGGAGGAGATTTACGTTTACCAACCACCTGGTTTGTTAACTCAACCCTTCCCAACCATGTTTACAACTTAGACAAAGCTTTGTATGGATTGCATCAAGCTCCTAGAGCTTGGTATGCTACTCTCACTCAGCATTTGCTCCTGAGGTACCATTGATCAAACCTTATTCCTCAAACATGTCGGTCCAGATCAAAATCTCGTTCAAATTTATGTGCACGACATCATTTTCGGGTCAACAAGCCATCAGCTTTGCAAAGAGTTTGAAGCAGTGATGAAGAAGCGGTTCGAGATGAGTTCGCTTGGGGAGATTACCACGTTTTTGGGGCTTCAGGTCCAACAATCTTCAGCCGGAATCCTTATTCATCAAGCGAAATATGTGGATGATGTACTGGACAAGTTTGGGTTTCGAGACGCAAAACCTGCTCTTACACCCATGGCGGAATGACCTTTTTTGACTCCTGATATTGAGGGTGAATCCGTAGATCAGACTCATTATCGATCAATGATCGGATCAATCATGTATCTGACTGCTAGTCGCCCAGACGTCATGTTTGTGGTCTGTCAATGTGCTTGCTACCAGGCTAATCCTAAACTCTCTCATTTAACTGTTGTTAAAAGGATTTTTCAGTATCTCAAAGGCTGCCTAAAACTAGGTCTTTGGTATCCGAAAAATCCCGAATTTGATCTTTATGCTTTTGTTGACAGCAACTATGGCGGGTGTGAGCTTGATAGAAAATCGACTTCAGGAGGATGCCAATTTCTAGGAGATAGACTGGTGTCATGGCAGTGGAAGAAGCAACACATAGTCTCAACCTCAACAGCAGAAGCAGAATATGTTGCTGCATCTACTTGTTGTTCTCAAGTCATTTGGATCCAACATCAGCTGTTGGACTACGGTTTGAATTTTTGAGAATTACTTATTTTATGTGATAATGAGGCTGCGATCCAAATTGCCAAAAACCCGGTCCAGCACTCAAAAACCAAGCACATCGACATCAAGATTCATTTTATTCGAGAATTTTATGAGCGTTCGCTCATTCGGCTAGAACAGGTCCGCTCTGATAATAATGTAGCAGATCTTTTCACCAAGCCATTTAACAAAGCTCGATTCGATGTGTTGGTTAATTTTCTAAAAATGATTCGTTTTGAGGATTAATTTTTTTTATATGTTTTTAGCATCAATTTGTGTATTTTATTTTATTTTATTTTAATATGCACAAATTTAGGGGGAGAAAATTAGAAAATCCAAAAACATTAAAAAAAAAATAGAAAATCCAAAAACATTAAAAAATTAGAAAATCCAGAAACATTAGAAAATTAGAAAATCCAAAAACATTAAAAAAAATTAGAAAATCTAAAAAAAAAAACATTAGAAAATTAGAAAATCCATAAAAATTAGAAAATTAGAAATTATGCTTGAGGGAGATGTTTTGCGTAACATACCCAAAGTTGAAGGGTCTATGCTCTGGTTTGATGTGTCGGTAGGCACGAAAGATTTTAAATGGACATGACTAGGCAAAATTGAACTTAGGAAATCAAATGACTTGACAAATGTTGACCTAGATAGTTCCGTTTAGCCTGACAATACGACGCTTGGATAGGTTGAGCAGGGAGATATATATATGAGAATCTACTCGTCACATTAATTGAACCTGTACTTGGAACCGTGGTTTAACTTTTCCTCCATGTGCGGATTCTGTCCTTAATTTTAGTATTGGTGGGGCAACTGGTAAATTCCGATAAATTAGGTCGGTAGAAAATCATTTTCGTTCTTTCTGTCTGTTAGTCATATGTTACCTCGTCTGCGTGATTGGAAGAGATCTGACCTGGACTGTAACATATGCAAATCTATCTCTCTGCATATTATATATATATATATATATATATATATATATATATATATATATATATATACACATATGAAATTCCTCTTATCTATTAGCCATATGCTGTCTCCTTTGCGTGACTAACCATCCGACCTTGTACACAACATATGCACTATAAATGATAATACTCTTAATCTATCTTCTCTCCTAATGATGGTATGTTCATCCGATGTAAGGAGTACTCTGGAAGTCCTTGATTACCGGGGCATATCTGGAAGCGGGAAACATGTTCCAGTACACTTAAAATTGAACTCATACAGATTGTCTATAGATCTCGCTGCTCAATTTAGGTGGACAACAATATCCCTGGTTGTCGTCAGCTGAATGGTCCTTAAGCTATAGTATCTAGAAACTTAGGTTTAAATATAATATCTAGGAATTTAGGATCACATTGTCTTGTCACTCATTAGTGTGTCCTAATTTTGTCACAATTTTTCGTGTTTAAGTGGACAACAATACCCACAATCGACCAGACAAAGATGTGAATATGAAAGGTCCTGACAAGCGGATAATGGTTGTCTAAAAACTTTGATCCCTAAACCTCAACAGGTTAAAACAATTTATATAGGTTTAAATTGATTTTTTTCTTGTCGTCAATAGTATTTCCAATTTTATTTTATTTCCTATTTTTATTTTAATTTTATTTTTTATTTAGTAGGAATTTTGAAATTAATATCTTATTAATCCTCAAAATAATTCATTATTGAGAAAATGGTGAGTGAAAGGGGTTTTGGCGTAAATAATTAAAGGATAAAGGGGAGGAAATGAAAATTCTGTGTATATATATAGTGTGTGTGCGGTGAGATATTTACCGTCACTATTCCTTGCTTCAACCGCACACGCACCTTTTCTCTCTCAAACTCTTGAAATATTCCATTAAATTTTTGTGAAATCAAAGCTTTTACTCGGTAATTCTCATGAACACGGCTGATTTTTTGATTATTTTCACAAAAACAATTTAGTTTGCTATTGAATCTTCATAAAAGAAAATTGTTTGTCTTCATGGGTAACCGCAAACGTGAGTGTGCGGCTGACCGTATGCGGCCACATTATATTATGAATGAGTGTGTGTGGCTAACCGTGTACAGTTGCACATGTCCGTGTGTGGCTGTGTGTAACTCCGTGTGCGGCTACATCATTCTCATAGTTTTGCCCTAATAATCTTATGTGTTGCCTTTCAGCTTAAAATGGGAGACATGGAGTTCGCTAAAGTCCACAATTCTGCAATTTTTCTTGAAGACCCTCCTGCAGCCCACAATGACTGTTGGTTTGAAGAAATCATGCTTGGTTTAATGCCTAACTACAAATCCTGCTATCTACCAAATTTTGATTAAGGATTTCTGGAGAAATGCTATTGTAAAGAAGAATGATCAAGGTGAAAAATTTATGGAAGTAACAATCGAAGAAAAGAAAATTCAAGTAACAGAAAGCATCATCAGAGAATCTCTCCAAATTGAGGATAGAATTGAGTACCCCATGGAGATTGACGTTCATCAAACTGAGGAAATCTTAGAGCATATGGGATACGAAGGAACTTTTCCTCCTACAATCAAGAAGTTGCTTCCTCAATGCTGGAAGCTTTTGGCCCATGTGTTCGTGAGTTGCATTTCTGGCCGGAGATCAGGAGCAAACGAGATTTCTTTGGCCAACACTGGTGCCATTGCAGCATTGGCAGCAGGTTTTGAGTTCAATTTCTCAAAATTTATAATGAATGAAATGATACTAAATCTTGAAGGGAGCAAAAGAGACACATTTTGTATGTATCCAAGATTTTTACAAATCATCCTTAACGACACGTAACTCACCCCGAGCTGCAGAGAGGAAATGATACTCTGGATTTCAAATCCATTGGTCCAAGTGCCTTTGGACTAATGAAACAAAAGAGGGGCGGGAAGTTCGTATTTGAAGGAAAATTTCCATTAATAAAATTTGGAATTTTTAAAGAGAATGTTAGAGAAGAATCAGAAGAACAATCCATGCCAATGGAAAATGAAGATATTCCTCACTCTCCCACCAAGCTGGAAGTGGAGGAGATTCATCACTCTCCCACAGCTTATGTAGCTGATGAGCATGATAATCTGAAAGAAAATGATTCAAAATCTTCTCGAGAGGATGATGAAAATGATCTCTATGAAGATATGGAGTTTTTGAAAGAAATCGACTTTACAGGAATCAATGACGACATTCCAACAAACATAGAGTTTGATTTTGGTGATGAAGATTTTGATCCTTTTCTTGATATTCCCAGTAGCCGTGTAAATAAAGTCAATGAAGTTGTTTTCTTTAGCAACCAAGACTAGAGATGAAGGAAATTTTCTCAAAATTCTGCTCTCTACCTTAAAGCCCTTGGATATCACAACAAGCCAAGGAGATGTGACATCAGAGATTCCTCCCTTTGTGTCACCTGTCTCAACATCATCTCCAGTCATTTCTGACTTAACTGAACCTCAGACTTCTCAGACTTCGATAAGAACAAGCCAATCTCTTGAAAGTATGGAGGTACCCTCTGTAAGATGTGCTCCTCAAGTTATTTCAACAATCACTGCAACCTCTGCTCACTCTCCTCCAAATCAGACTGATGAAGGTCCAAGTACCATGTTCGAGACTGGTGGAGCCTCTTCCATTCCAGAATATTCTCCAACTTGACCATCTCTAGATGAAGCTTCTATTAGATTAGTAAAATATCTGGCTCAATCTGGTCCAACCTCTTCACACGGGAAAGGAATATCATTTAACGAGGGTCGGACAGATGATGACAAATCCTCTTCGTCTGATCTCCGAGAGGAAATTAGAATTCTCCGCAAACAGCTCATTGAAAAGTCAATTCAAATGGATCAGCTTTCTGCACATATCTTTGAGCTCGGGGCAAAGGATGAAGAAAAGACCAAACAAATCAATGATCTACAAACGAGTCTTGGATATGTTCTAGCTAATTATTTCAATCTCAAAAACATATTGTATGATGCTTTTGATGAAGAAGTCAAAGCCCTCTTCCAACAGCCTCATGGAGTAGTTGATCCTCCTTCTGTTCAATCACCTCCTGCAACTGAAGATCTACCTGTCAACCCACCTGCTCCAAGAACAACTACAATTGTCAACAGGTTTGAAAAAGAAGCAGAAGGAAGCAGAGCAAGAATCACAATCAAACAGGGCAAAAGAATCGTAACTGCAAATCAAAGCGAAGGCCTTTTATTCATGAAAAATTCTAATGAAAATCGCAAAACAAGAGACCCTGTCTCGACAATAATGGATTTGAAGAAAAGAAAGTTTGGTGATGAGTATGGTGACAGGACAGGTATCTGAATGTGGGCCTTTGATCTAGTGATGAATTTTTGGGTTGTAAAGCGAAAATCAGGAGCATCTGAATGTTACAAAAGCACCCATGATTTCAACTCGTGGACCAAAATCGATCTAGCTGAATTATCCAGGGCCCCATTCCATAACCCCTCTAAAGATCCTAATGCTTCAAATTTCAAAAGATTTCTCGACAGACAGGTCAAAGAGAACTTTCCATCAACGAAGACTACAAAAACCCTATATTGAAAAGACAAAGATGTTCTTGATCCAGAAACAGGCGAACCCATGAAGATTATACTCTAGCCTGCAACTAAGAAACAAAAGGAAATTCCTATTCCTCAACATTTTCATGAGGGATATCTGGATGACATGAAATTTTGGGCATATGATGACGAAACTACTACTGCAACTATAAAATTTAAAAATCAGGAACATGTTCTAAGATTGATTAGTGCTAAAGATCTTCTCCGTTTCAGAGAAAGGGATATACGAACTTTGGCTCGTCATCAAATCATTTGCAGAAAAGATGCCATGGAAGCTGCCGCTAAAGAATTCACTGCAATGGTGGCTACGATCATAAAAGGAAGATTGTGGATGGGATCGATGGGGACATCAGATATGAGGTTGTTTGAAAAGTCTGCTGAGGAGCCAAAAGAGTGAAGACAAGACTATGCTAGTCTCAAACCAAGGGGGAGACTGAAAGAACATAATTTTGTGGTTTGAGCTAGGCATCATTTTGTATAAGTGATTATGTGTAAACTTGTAATGTGTGCTGCCACACATGTGTGTGCGGCTGCACACTGTTGTGCTGGTAGGAGGAGTACTATTTAAAGCAACTGAGTTGTGTTAGTTTGTACTTGTTGCTTCGTGTTAGAACTCTGCTGCAGCAGTACTTTTCTTAAGATGTACTTGACATTTACAGGCAATAGATGTGTGCATGCTTGATTTTAGTTCTTCTTCTTCTACATCTTTCCTTTATTGCAATCAACTTCATTGATTATTAAATTGGATCATTAGATTTGGATCTTACAAAAAAATATAGTTGTCTATAGCCGTTGGGTATATAGCCATCATATACACACACACAGGCATACACACACACATACACACACACACACACACATATATATATATATATATATATATATATATATATGTGTGTGTGTGTGTGTGTGTGTGTGTGTGTGTATACTGTATGTAATTTTAAAAGATAAAAAATAAGTGAGCATGAAGATTATATACATGATTAAAATGTATAAATAAATGTTAGTATACGAAAATAAAAATTAGTTGCATAATGTAAATCTTAGTAAATAAATAAAAATTAGAATACATAAAATATTAGTATAATAAATAAAAATCGTTAGTAGCCTATAATGTCCATAATTAATAAGTTTTATTAATTCATTATTATTTTTAATATGATGGTGGTTTTATAATTAATAATGTTTTTACTACATAATACATAACTTGATTAAGATATATGTGATTTCAACTTGTCGAGTCACATTTATTAGTGCTTTCGTTCTGATAACGCGTTATAAATTCAACGCAATTTAGGTAAATTTAAACTAAACCAAACTAATAACTTTGATTAGAACTTTAAACCAAACCAAACTATTTATAATCTACGTATAATTGTAACTAGTAAGAAATGTTGATAAATTTTCAATGCACCAATTATTATGTCTTCTATCAATTATTTATAATAGTTATGTTGTTGTTGTTGTTGTTTTTGTTATTATTATTATTATTATCATTATTATTATTATTATTATTATTATTATTATTATTAAATCAAGAGATAATTACTTAAAATGGTAATATAAATTTTGATTTTTATGTATTTTGTCACTGACTTTGTTTCGTCCAAATTTAGCCCTTTAATTTTTTTAAATTGTAAACATTCAATTCTTATGACCGACTACTCCAATGTAGACGGAAAAAATGACTTAATATGATAATATATTTATTAATTTGTCCATATCTAATCCTTATGTTTTTTTGTATAGTTGGTTATCTATTACTAATGGTTATAAAAAAAATTCAACTTATTACGCATGAAAAAAAAATCATTATATTATTATTTTATACAACTAAATTGTTTTATGTTATAATTTTATGTAATAAAATCATTTTATGTTATGATTTTGTATAATAAAACCTTTATTTTCCCCATTATGCCTTATAATTTTTTTATTGAGAAATGATATTTGATAAACTTTTCATTTCATCCACAAATGAAGCATAATAACCCGATATATGCCAGAGCATATCTCTAGATTTCTAGCACGTTAAAGTTGGTAGTCATTGCAACACTAAGCATACCTGTACTTCATTTATTGAATAAATGAGACATTTATCAATCATCATGTCTTAAAGGGTTTTCTAGTTAATCTATATCCTAAAATATCTTCTCTTTCCCTTTCTGTGACTTTTTTTCACTTTATTGTTGGTAGTCTTTATGTCGTTGTCTCCCTTTTTCCCCACCAAAAATTTTCTATGACTTTTTTCTATGACTAACCCTCATGAGCTATAATTTCATTCCATGAGAAGTAACTTAAATTACATATAATGTACTCGTTATCTCACTAGTTATTACAATGCTGACTGGGGTTGTGTAATGACTTCTCATTCATGTAACACCCTGTCTCAAATAGTTATCTGATTTGGGGCTGTGACCCAAAGACTGATTATCATACGGCTTAGGGCCTTTGGAAAAGAGCTTTTATCCCTTTTGAGTGTGGATAATGTAGATTAGACGATTGAGGAGTTCGGTATGTGTTTTGGAGTCCAAGGGTATATCGGTAAAGTGACGGTTCGGGTCTTTTATGAATTTTGAAGTTTAGTTCAAAATGTTTTATGGAAAGGGAGAGTTAATAGAAGTGTAGAGCTTCTCATTATCTTTCCATAGATATAAGGATTGTAGGAATCGAAATTAAAATGAAGAAGTTATGGCATTTGGAAGATTGGTAGTTCTTAATCCTGGCCGAGTACGATGGGAGTATGCTAGGACTACGCCGGGCATACTGGCTCGACATCCAGATCCCGGAGGTTTTAGCATACATGGGGCATTCGGCCAGTAGGGGCAAAATCCTAATTTTAAGGTTTGCATCCTATTTAAACAACTTATCTCACTCATGGACACACTCTTGATCAACCTCCATCACCTTATGACCTAATTTTGAAACCCTAAGTGTATTTAGTGAGATTTGAGCTTTAGAGTAATGTGTTGTTTGTTTTTTTGAAGCGAAAATGTCTCAAGTCCGCGGACCACCTCTGCAACCCTCTATAGCAGAAGAAGGGGACCAAACGGCTGCAACATGTGATAAAAAAATTTGTTTGTTTTTTAACCTCTGTAGACTGTTGCAATAAGTTAAAGTAAGGTGTGAAGAGGTTTGAAGCAGGGAAGTGCTGAGCAATGCAGCACATGCACAAGAATTTTTAAGTCTCTCACCTTGATGATCATTTGTGCTAGATCTATTTTATGGTGTTATTTATGCATTTTTGAGTCTTTTGAGTTAAAGTTGATCTTTCAATCTACTCCGGAACCCATGGATGTTAGATCACAGCTCATGGAGATCCCTTGTTCATAAAAATGCAAAGTTTATGGAGGATATTGGTCCATGCAAGCATTAAGTGTTGGATTAATGTCTAAGTCCATAACTATAATTGGTAAGACTTGACCCGACCCGGCATGGTCCATTTGGGTTGCATGGCATCATGCACTTGGATAGACTATAATGAGAGAAATAAGACACTTATGGTTATTAATATATTATAAGTTCTAGTATATTAATAATAAGAATAATAAGATTATTTAATTAGTATTGATCAAGAATTAATATAGGATTAATTAAGTGATCAAAAGAAGACTAATTAAATATATGGGTTGATTGTGTAAATCATCCATACTTATATAGTGGGCTAATGCTCCATGGATTATCTAGTTGGGCCAAAAACCATATGATGCTCCATGGATGCTCCATGGTGTATTTGAACCCATGGATCCAAGGAAATGGAAAGTCATGACAATTAGGGTTTACCCTAATTGTAACACTATATAAAGATATTATTCTTCCCAAAAATCGGCCACTAGATTATTCAAGAGAGGGCTAGCCGATTTCATGAAGTGTAGAATTCTCTCTAAGTTATTCCAAGTGTTTATGGTGTTGTGTGAACCATTTAAGGTGTCACACTTGGGGCACTAAGCACTCAAGCTTCATGAAGACAAGCACCATTAAAGAGGTATGTATTCTATCTTGTTATATTGATATTTTGTATGCTAGATTAGGATAATACCTTGGATGTTCATATTTGCATGTATAATAGAGAAAACATAGATCCAAGGTATTTAGGGTTGCATGTACACTTAGGAGTGTTAGAATGCTCATAACCCAACAGTGGTATCAGAGCCTAGGCTTGTTTTCTTGTTATACCTGCAATAGAAGCTGAAAAATCGAGTTTTGATGCTGTCAGCCCAGCTGACTCGCCGAGTCCATGAAGGGACTCGACGAGTCCAAGGCAAAATGCATCCAACTCGCCGAGTTGTGTTCATGCACTCGACGAGTTGGACCCCAGACAGCATATCTTCGAGGTTTTTGGCTAGAAATGGACTAGGAACATTACCCTAAGTTGTTTTGAACTTATAAACTTGTTTTTAAATGTGGTAATGTTCATGCTAATCCATTTTCAAGATAATTGTCAATAGATTCATGTTTTGTATTAGTTTAAAGGTTAGACTAATTACATGAAAAAGTTTGATTTGAATTATCTTGTTCTTATGAGTTGCTTAGATTAATAGAAAATTGAGTGAAAAAGTTGTTTTCAATCCAAATTAATCTAAGAGTTGAGTATAAAATGTGTTTGTGTAACTTATCCTTAAGTTACATGAAGAGTCACATTAAAGACTCATAAAACTCATAAAGTTGGCAAAGGTTACAAAAAAGATGAAGAGTCTTGTCCTTAAGTTATGGAGGTTCAAGAGTCACTTCATTAATAAATAAATAAATAAAATATGTAACCTTAATTAATTCCATAAGTTATAAAATAAAGAAAAGATTAATTCTTTATTAGTTTAAAGTCTTCCATAATTTGTCCACAAGTTATGGAACTTGAAGAGTTTTTGGATTAAAACTACTTTAAATACATAAGTTATGGAATTAATTAGTTTTGAATAGTTTCAAAACTTGCCCTCAAGTTTTGGAATTTGTAAAGTTTTCTCTTATGAATACTTTAATTCCAAGTTAGCCCTTAGAATTTTAAAAGTTAAAATTCAACCCTTATACTTTATAATATTATAAGTTAATAATATATGTATAAGAGTAAAGTCAGTCTTACCGCTAGTACGCCTCATTCATGAAGCCGGTCTATAAGGTGGGTATAAGGTTGTTGCCTATAAAATGGCAACTTAATGGGTGTTCACTCTCATCCACCGCTTGCTTGACTGGTGGAGGGTTGTTAGCCGAACGGGTTTGACAGGACTATAATTCTCCCTTCATTAAAAGTATTAATGATAAATACTAAGTAACTAAACTCTAAAAAAATACTCAATCTTAGTTACTTAGGAAAAATGTGAATAAGGTGCTAATCCATGAAATTACACTTTGCACTTTGTTTAAGTCGGTTAGTGGAGCGTGTGTGGTTAACCGGCACACTAA